TCAGGTGAGGGTTTTTAGATTTTATGGCAGCTGGCCTCCACCTTCTTCTCCTTCTCCACCTGACCTCAACTGCAAGCGCTAGATCGCAGTGGTCCCCGCCGGATCCGAAAAAAGCCCAGGATCAGACTGCATGGTCCCTGCCGGACCTCAACTGCAAGCTCGGTCCGCATCGGACCCGAACAGCAAGCCCCTGATCAGACTCGTCCCTGCCAGACCTCAACTCTGCAAGTGCAAGATCGCAGTGGTCCCTGCCAGGCCCGAACAGCAAGCCCAGGAGCAAAAGCGCGTGACTGAGTGGTCCTTGCCGGGCCCGAACTTGTCCCCTTCCTATCCACTTCCCTAACTGAAGATAATGCCAGATAGAATGCCAGGATAAATGCCAGATAGAATGTCAAGAATAGATGCCAGATAGAATGCCAGAAAGAATGGCAGATAGAATGTCAGAATAGATATATATATATATATAGAGTGTTAGGTATCATGTAGAAATAGATGAATACATTTACTATTTACATCATATAATATATATGTGAAAATATACATCTTGAAATGTCATGCTGGGGATCACTTGAAGTAATTTGACATGATGCCAGCTCGCTTCGCCCCGACAATCTAAGCTAACGCGCGGAGACATGGCATGGCAAGCTGCCCCAAGCACCTGAAGTTGGCGTGCAACACTGCACGCTTCTGTCAAAACTCACGAGCCCACAGCTCATTGCTCAGCTCACTTCTTTGCCACGGCGGCCTTTGACTGGTTGCAGTTGTTCTTGTACGGCTTGATCTGCGGCTGCTTCATGAAGGAGGCAGCATGCTCCTTGGCAATCGCCTTGTACTCAAGACTTGACTGGGTGGGCGCGTTCAAGAGGCTCTGGAAAGCCCAGTTCCACCACAAGATCTGCAGGGTTTGGCGCTTGTGGCCACCAGAAAAAACTTGTTGGAATGGTGGTGAGCCAAGAGAGAAGAGAAAAACAAACAATTGGAATCTTGTTGAGCATTGGCTTCTAAAGACACAAACTTTTTAATTTCCCTTCAACATTGAGCCAGACAGAAAGGTTGCAACACCTCAAGGAAAAAAGTGCATTGAAAATTTGTTCAACTCTCCCAGCCTCAACTTGGCTGGGGGAATGAACCCAAGGGCTGATCTTCTCGGCAAAGGTCGAGACCATGATGTCGAACCGCAACCGGCATACCGCCCTTCTCGGGGGGGCACGCCCAGCAAAAGTGGTCTTCTTTCCCATGCTTCCACGGCCATCGTCACCAGCACCGGCATCAGTGTTGCTGCCAGCGGCCTTTTCGCACTTCGGGGCTTTAGCCCCTGACTTCGAAGAGGATGCCTCACCGCCCTCTGGCTTCTTGGGCCGCTTGCGGTGGGAGACCGTAGGGTCTGCGACGCCATCCACCTTGGCTTTCTTGCTGGGTCCATCGGCTTTGGCTGCGGCACTTTTGCGCTTGGGGGGAACCACATCGGCGTCCGAGGAAGTCGGGCTGGCAACTTCCTTGAAGGCACCATCAAGAGCGCGAGGTTCCACAGGAGATGAAGGTGGAGAATAGTGCTGGGTGGCATGTAGGCCGTCTTCCGACTCCCCATCCGTAGCTCCACCATCTGCCTTAGAAGCCGGCTTCTTGGACTTGTAGGCCTTGCTTGAAGCAGGTCTCTTCATACTCTTGGGGTTGGATTTCGCCTTGGCCTTGGCCTTGATGGGAATCTCTTTGATCTCTTTGAACTCCCGCTGATCCTCTCTAGAAACCATGGGGGCATCGGCAAAGCCGTCTTCACATTCATCAGCACGTGGGTCAGGTTTTGGAATCTTGGACTTGGGCTGCTCCACCTTTGGCTCTGCAGGAGCAGCAGGCACAGCAAGAGAAGCTTCAGCACCATCCCGGGCGATGCCTGGCTGATGCTGGACATCCACATGGGACTTAGCTCGAGAGAGAGGCTTCGGCCGGGAATCTGAACTTGACCCTGGAGAGACACTATCCTCGATTTCCCCAAGCTCCAAAGTCTTGGCCCGCAAGATTGCGTCGTACTCTTCAATGGGCTGGGTCTCAACGTTGTCAGAACCTCGGGAATGGACTGGCGACCCGGCTTTATATAATAAGGTCGGGCTTGAAGGGTTCTAGTTCCCATGTAACCAACACTTCCCCAAACAAAACCTAGACCTCTTGTTGCAAAACAAAAAAGCATGCCGTGATGGCTTTCGTTGCTTCACCGCTCTTCTTATCCAACTCTGCCTTCAACACCTGGATACGGGCCAGCACCAGCTGGCGGCTCTTCTGAAGTGATGGATCGTCCACGGCATCACCCAGGCGGAGCCTTTTCTCAGGCACTTTTGGAGGTGGCATGGAGACATCTCGCTTGGCTGGCGGCGGCGTGGAAGTGGCCACGCCAGGAGGCGGAGGCTTTCCCACATCCTCTGACTTCGGCGGCTGTCCACCAACAACGGCCTCAAGCGAAGCAGCTGGCTTGACCTCAGGATTTGCCATGGTGGGAAGCACCTCTGGCTTCACCTCAGGCTGTGGCTGCAAGGGCTCATCGGGCTGTGAAGGCGGTATCTCCTCTTCCTCCTCACCTGCTTCACCGACCTCCGAAAGTGGCGAAGTTGGCGAACCCGGGTCAGATCCACCAGCGCCATCAGCAGCACCACCACCCTCAGCAGACACCTCAGCATGGCCACCAGACACCCCACGACTGTAAGATGCCCCAGCATGAGCCGCCACAGCCGATGGCTCAGCATGGCCACCAGACAGCTCACCGCCAGACGCCGCAGCAGACGCCTCAGCATCGCCACCTGCAGCCTCAGCACCGCTTCCGGGCGAGGCCTCAGCATCGGCAGGGCCAATGCCATAACCATCGGCTGTGGCAGCAGCAGGCGCCGCGCTCTCGGCAGCAGTAGGAGGCGTGGTGCCCTCATCATCGGCCCAATACTTCCGCAAGACAGCATAGAAGGCGTTGAGCTCAGGGTCCTGACAGTCAAGCTGTTCAACAAAGAAAAACCGAGTGCCTCCTAGGTCGGTGAGATAAGGTTACGGATGCCCCCTAGTTCTTCAAAGATGCATGGGGTGTAACAGTAACACTTTCAAGCAAACACTGGTTTCCTGGTCGGTAAGATAGGTTAACATAACACGGATGCCCTTTTATTCCTTTATTATATTCAGTTACATGGGGTGCCCTCATGTTTTTTAAACAGACCGGGTACCCCTATAAAGGTTCTTTCAAAGAATAAGGTTGCCCCTTCGTTCCTTTAAAAAACTTGGTGGTCAAGCCCTGAGTCATTTAAAAAATGTGTGGGGTCTTTGGATTCAAAATGAACTTGTCCTTGTTTATGGAACCGGATGTGAAACGGCGAATCCCATGCGAAAACATTTTTTTGATGCCATCTGCATCCAAGTGAACGCATGCATCATCGTCAGCTTCCACCCCAACGAGCGCTCTGAACGTGCGCACCTTTCAGGGTCGGCCAGGATAAGCTTGATGCTTGTAAGGGGTTCCCACTTTGCTAATCCCTTCCCTCCTCGTCAATACCACCAAAAAAGGATGAGAAAAATGAGTAGATCCAATACAATGTCACCGTTTGACGACCAATGATTTACTATGTTAAGATCAAAGGGATTGACCCCCCAAACTTAAAGTCCAAACCCAAACGACCTCTTTCAATAGCCCAACCTCGGCCCTCACCAAGTCTATGGGCACGAACTTGGCATACTCAATAGTTGGGCACCACCAGTGAGCTAAACAGGTCAAGGCTGCTTCGTTCAAAACCATGGCCCGGACGCTTGGGACATTGACGGCCTTGCCATCGGGTGAGGTGGGGGTCATTCTGGTCCTTGACCCTCCTCCTCAAAATTTTTTGGCACTCCCAAGCAGACCCAAGTTCGCCAATGGCTGGCTTTGGGTATTGGTCTTCGCTTTCTGGCTCATCCTGAAAAGGAACCACTGCACTCGCCATGTAGGGCAGGAAACAGGAAGGTCTCTGGTTGGCCAGCTGGGAAGTCTGAGCTCTCTAGATCTACGGATCAAAACGGATCAGGCTTTTGCCACATTACACATGCAATGATGCACAGAGAGGTTGCCACAGAACCAGGTTTCAAAATAAAGTATGTTGGTTGCAAATTTGCAGCCCCCCCTTGTTCACCAATCCCAATCCAGTGCAATCTGCAAAGGGGGGATCCTGCACCTGCACAGGACTGCAATCTCCAGCATTGCAGGTCCACAAGTAAGCGGCCCCGACCGCTCTCAAGTCAAAAGCTTCAAGGGTGAAATCATTGCTTCACTGAATTGAAACTGAAAGCTTGGGATCTAAAAAGGTTTGCATTGTTTGTTTCTTCCACCGCATTCATTCACATTTTGTGCGGTTGATCGCTTTGACCTAAAACTATATTGTGGTGAACATGTTGGATTGCGCCCTTCACTCACTGCATGCCAGCTGGAAAAGGTTTCATCCATGTGGCCGTGGACGGGTGAGCATGTCCAAAAATTATCAAAAATTGAAATCTGATCCAGAATGTTGAAAACTTGAAAAACGTCGTTGGGACCCAAAAAACGTCGTTCTGAGGGATAAAGTATTTATTGACAAAAAGGCAAAAATTTAACCACCTTTCGAAGAGGCAGGTATGTATGTTTAACATCTTTTTAGGGGTGCTAATCAGCACCGTGACTGGATTCATGAAACAAAACAGACATCTTTCGCCAAAGCCTACAATCAGTAGGAACTCCAGATTTTGATCCTTGCTGGGTGGGATGTGGACCAAGGGATTGGCTTTGTAGAGAACTGGAGGATTTACCCACAACATCCTCCAAGGAATTTTAAGGCAGAATTTAAGTTCGCAAAAAAAACGAAAATAATAACCAAATAACTCAGTGATGATGTTGTCTCAAAATGGTGATGAAAAAACCAATAAACAGCACATTTTCCAAAAATTGTACCATAATTTTCCACCAGTTTTCCACCTATTTTCGCCGACCTTCATAGGCAGCCCCTGGCCCTCCCGGCAGCCCCAAGGAGATGCGGTCGACCATTGAGCTTGTGCGCCACGCAGGTGCGCGAGACGTTGATTCGGAAGATCGAGCGCGGCTGCCAGGCCGGAAAATGATGACACGTTTTTTTTCGCTATATGCGAACCATGGTGCTGGAATATGAATCCCAACATTTACTCCATAAATGACCCAGTTTTGTAGGTAAATGTAGGTAATTTATACCAGCACCATGGTTCGCATATGGCTATAAAATGCGATCAGATATGGAGAAATCACAGCTTTGTTTCCCAAGCAACAGAATGGGAAACTGCTTGGTGGCGACTGGAACTTGGAACATGAATGGATTATTTTCCCCAGTTGGGATGATTTTCTCCAATCTGACTTTCACTCCATCATTTTTCAGAAGGGTAGGTCAACCACCAGCCAGGAAAATATGGGAACAGAATCTGTAGAAGCTTTATGGGAGAATCACGAAACTCAATGGAGGTAGTTACTGGGAATTTCCTAGCCACGTTTACATCGGAGGGTACATGGTTATAGTGTTATGATATGGAATAGAATGGCACAGACTTGGGATGATTGGTAACAGCCATTAATAGCCCCAAAATGGTTTTGTGCGGTGGTTACCACGTTAATCATGGATAGGATTGGATGGGATTGTTGCGGGATTCAAAGGTGATTTAAAGTGCTGGTATATATGATAATAAACTATACTTGGGTATATCTGGGTTGTATTATAGAAAGACTTCGACTTGGGTTTTTCCGAGGTTGTACTTAAGTTACGTCGAGGCTAGTGGAATATCCAGTTAAACTGGAGATACACTCCTGAAGTCCAGAAGCGATGGTTGATGGTCGAAGATGATCAAGGATTGCGTTTTGGGTCGATAATATGGTACCGGTAAACCCAAGAGAGTGATACCGGTAAGGAAGGATAGCAGTATCATCCGGTAAGGAAACATGGTAGCAAATCCTCTTTGAATGGAAGGTTTAATATGGTTTAATGGTAAAACATCTATCAATGGGAAATGCTTCATTGCCATGTTTGACTACTGGAGGTAAACTGTCTTTGGGTCCAGGCTTTCCGTGGCCATCCCCGTATGGAATACATAGCAGCTTTGATGTCACTGGAATGATGGGAATTGGATGGAGACAACGGGGGAAGTATCCTATGGCTGATCATTTCAGGTGTGGGGCACGGGCAGGAGGATCGGAAGATTGGTGGCTGAACATTTCAGGTCCATGATTCCTATCATTTATCCAGATACATGGAGCAGTTGCGCATGAGAATGAACATAGCTCGTATTACCCACCTGGTAAAGAATCAGCAATTGCGAAGCAGCGAATTGGTAAATTGTGGGGTTGCTCAGAGCCTCTTACCCAAAAGGTTTTGTCATGTTTTGATATGTGTTGTTATTGTTTTTGCCGTCATAATCCAAAATTGTGAGATACAACATGTTGATCCATACCTCATCATACCTCCATGTTCTGGTAAACGGCTTTTGAGCCGAGGCCACATCATTTCCATGGGTATAGCCATAGTGATTTCAAGCCCAAAAATGGGATATGGGGCACCTATAACTATGGTGAGTTATCTATTCACAAACAGTTCACTGGAACTGGTTGAACTGCACGCCCAAGTATAATACAGTTTGTGTGGAACCCTCCACTAAGTCGCGCAACAGGTGAGGGAAAATGCCAAGTTTCTTCACACCGAGCCTCATCATGACGTTCCTTGGATCGATTTGATCTGTTTCCATTCAGCCTTGTTGTTTTTTTTGCCTTGGATTTTGCTAATTACTGGTATTGGGCACTATGAACAAACCATAGCTAACCCATAGGATTGGCCCGCTTTCAACCAGCTAGTATATATACAATGAGATAGTAGCAGTTTTTTCTTGAAGCGCTCACTTTGTTGAACTTTGATCATCAGGCTCTAGGTGGTAGAATTGACTGCTCTTCAACACAGAAGTAGCAGTAAGTAACGAAACCAAAACTCGAAGATGGACCCATGTCTAGTGCAGTCAAAAGTTGGCCCAAGAAATGATGGATGAATATACATGATGGATTGCGATCTTTCGAATCTCTTTTTACCATCCGAATTGGGATCGATGACCAGCATGTCAAACACCGCATGTACCGATCCCAGATCTCCAAATATCGAAAAAGCATGGAGCAAGTGCCATGTGCTGGGCCAATGGGCCCAAATGGGTTGCTGCTTTAGGCACTGGAAATGATGGACATGATCCCTCCATGATCCCATAGGGAATGATGGCCTTAGGCACTGGAAAAATGATGGCTTTAGGCCCAGAACATGATCCCTCCATGATGGATTGCTGCTTTCGGCCTGGAATGTTGACTAATGTTGACCCCCACATGATCCCATATAGGGAACCATCGGAGACGTCTCTTGCCTAAGGACATCATGTTGGGATATTTGCCTTCCGTGTTGCGGCACACGCGCGTCTCATCGAACCAACACCACTTTGTGTGCGCGACGAGTGGATTCAATTCGGTGTCCAACAAGCACATGCCACCTGGCGATGGAAATTCCAACAGAACATCTTCAGGAAACATGTATAACACACGTTAAAAAGACAAAAATGTTGTTTTCTTTAGATGTTCCCTTCATCAATAAATGAAGCGTTTGGTGCCAAAAATCATCCAATTGACATTACAAATGCTGTGACTTTCCTGGAAAGCGGAAGCTCTCTGGACAGATAATCCGGCATATTATGTTTGATTGGAGCGTAAAATCCCTCGAAACGCAATCATGGGTCTGTGCAAAACCGTAACCTTACACCATCCAGCTTTCAGATTTACGTGTTGGCAGTTTACTCATCCTTGCAGATCATATATGATAATATACTGATATTACAATACATATATATATATATATGTATATTACATGGGTATGTTGTGTCAATTTCTTGAGAAAGCCATTCATCATATTCATCCCGTGGTGTCCCGTGGCTACTGTCAGACGTTTTAAACGGACGTGTCTTTAACGTCGAAAGGCTGATGCTCCTTGAGCGAGTGGAGCGTTTTGTCGCGTCTCCCACCTTTCAGAGACTTTGCAAAGTGGTGCCTGGGGCTGGATGAATGATCACCGCTGACATATTTGGAAGGTGGGGAGCTCTGGGTATTTTTGTTGGTTTGTAAACCCCACGAATGCTACAGTTCTATCTACATCTTATACTATATTATACTATAGATTCTAGTCAACCAGTTAACCTAGTTATAAACCAACTTAGCTAACGAGGGGGCCCCACTTTGTAGATGTTGCGTGTTGGTGTTTCGATCGACTTGCCAATTTTTTCCCATTGAAAGTTGGCAAATGTTAGGAATGAACAAACCACCAAGTGAGACAAACAACTTTCAATGGGATTATGTCGCAACTTTCAATTTGGTCAACTTCCAAATTGTAAGTTTTTTCAATGGGAAAGTTGAAGAAATGAAAACTGACATGTTCCCAGCTTGTGACACAACACGTCAGCCACTTCTTCAACTTAGGTACCTGCAGCAAACAAAGAATGAAGACAGTCATGACTGAAAATACCTCACCTTGACTTGCTTCGGATCATGACTCTAATGGCTTAGAAAAGAGCGATGGTCTCCGGTTTCGAAGGCGAAACGGCCAAATGAGGACTACTTCAGTTCCAACGGGCCTTCTGCTATTGATTTTCGCCGGCGAGATGTCTGGAAATTTCTGGTTGCTCGAACGCACGTTGAAGCGTTTGACGTGTCTTTGGGGGTCCTACAAACTTCGGATCCCGGACTGACAGAGTTTTGCTCGAAAGAAAATAGCTGGAAACCTGGGGACAAGCAGCGTGTTTTGATGAGCAACGCATAGCAACGCTATTGGTCCAATGGAAAGGAATGTTGTTTGTTTCCCAACTTATAAGGTTAGTCTCACCATTTGGTACGCACCGTCGCTATTTCCATCAATTTTGGTCAAGGGACTCAGTCATACGTTCCGTTGCTGTTGGTACCGTACCATTGGACTGAAGGTATATTTCATGGTAGTGAAGCAACCATCCAACCTTTGTTCAAGATGGGTGCAAACAATGTTGGCCAGCCCTTTGTGTTCGCTTGGCATGATTATAGATTGAGCTCAATATAATTATATATAGATATACACTACGCATGTACAAATTCCCGCTGTATAGCCAAAATACTATTGCAGCATACTTGTATCTCTCCTGTGGCCTGTACGGGTGTTTGTCAAACATAGCGGACCTTTCAACTTCGCAAATGGTCGATTTGATAGGCCATGGGAACCAACAATTCACAAACCATACCTGGATGCTCTACATCTTGGCGAAAGTCAGCAATATGTGTTGATCTCGATGGCTGGAAAATAGTGACTTAGCCTCCGGCAAACAAGCTTGATGAATTCGCCATGTGCCCATCCTCCCGCGATTTTTTTGGGAAAGGCACAGGGTTTCGATTTGGTTACATCCATAGACTGGACATATATGGAACTCAGTCAGCAAATGTCTGGTCCTGTCACCTACTAATTTTGGCTGTTTCTTGGCATTTTAAAATGGGCCCCCATTCGGAACCCTGATCATGTCCACTCGCTAAATCCAACCAACCGCAGTTCAAAACCTCGCAGTAACATCATAAAGTTATGAACATAAATCAACCACCCTAGAAAAGTCTGCACTCCTGTTTCCTAGGTGCCCAGTATATAGTCTGAACCCTATCTACCAGAAATCCAACACTTAAGCTACTTCTTTCAGCCAACTTAATTCTCCATGGCTGGCTATTCCCATGATATCCCCCATTGAATCCCATTATAAAAGGATGTATAGATGAGTAGTTACTCACATTTTTCCTATTAAATGCTAACTATATAAATCTCATTATTTAATATGTATATCACCTTTCTTACCGGTTAGTTGTAACGTACCTATTCCAACCAACTACTCATTTTTGGCACGCGGCACCTCCGTGTTAGGATGGCATCGCAGCTGCAGACCACGAACTGAGAGATGAGGGTGCTGCGAGACGATTGGTCTACAACTTGTGCCCTGGGTGAACCCGTTGGGAACGCCGCGTGCCTTATGGGAAGGCGAGGGAACCAACATGGGAACTTGAGCCCGGAGGATTTGGGGATGGGAGATATCGATATAATATATTTTTTTTTGTTGGGAATATGGAATGGGATATGTTGCGGGATATATCACCAACAGTATGTTAACCATTGGATTCAATGTAATTGGCCAGTCAATTATTATTCAATGGCGATGTAAAAGAGTGTTGGATTACGATATATACACTCAGTACTATAGTATTTAACGGTGACGTTGATTTTCTATGGAGAATCAGACATTGGTACCATGGAAAATCACCAAAAGTACCATGGTTTCTCATGGTTGATAAGCGTTTTCACCATTCTCAAAGGACAGGTTTGGGATAGCCCCTTCATTTTTGATCAAACCATGACAAACCCATACAGGAAGTTCCTTGAAGTTAAGTCTTATATTTAATGGTTCGAATGTGTGTTTGTTTAATCCCAATGTACCCCAATTGGTAGTGCTTTAAAGAAACCTGTGCCAACCAGTTGCTAACTTTTGGAACCGTACTGTTTTGGTGAAGGCTACGTGCTTTCAAGATCTTTCAATCACCGGTATCCGATTTCCCAACAAGAAATGGACATAGAAGCAACACTAATGGTGGGTTTTGGATATCTGCTGTCTAATCCGAAATCCCACCTGGGATTATGGACTTCCAAGTGACTTTCATATTGTTGGTCTGGGTTTAAGGTCAAGACCGGGGCACCCCAAAATCAGCTGAGTTCTCAGCAGACCGCCGAGGTGTGTGATCTTCGGAGATTCAGTGGCAGACGGTGATTCCTCCAAGCTTCTGACTCGCGTGAAAGGCCCGGGGCGCAGCGGGGCGCAGCGGGGCGCACCGGGGCGCGGGGCGGGCAAGGAGTCCGTGATTCCGTGCGTCAGGACTGAAGGACTATTTTGCGAAGCAATATGCCGGGCAGAAGGATGAGAAAGACATTCAAACCTTGCCACTGGGCTCACCAGTGGATCTGGGGGACGCATGGGGAAGCTGTGTCATCTCCTCGCTAATTGTATTCCACTTGAAACAAACAAGGCCTTTTTTCGGACTGGGGACACAGGGGACTAGGCAACTAGGCCGTACTTCTCTGCAGAATCCACCACAGCGTGATACAGCGTGCTTGGTCTTAGCCGCCTAGGAAAGGTTCCTGTCGAGAGTTTGAGGCTGAGTGTGTCTGGGGGTGCCTTGGCCACGTGTTGTGATCTTAGTATCATCAGTTTGGCAATGTTTTGAAGTGACTGGTCATGCTGAACATGTGATCCCCAAGACGCTATTCATGTTTAAATTACTGAGGCAGCATCCAAACAGATCCAAATGTATTGGAATCTCTCTCCTATCTTTGGAGAGACTCCTACTAACCTACTGGTTGGTGGTTTCAAACAGTTCTTGTTTTTCCATATATTGGGAATAATCATCCCAACAGACAAATATTTTTCAGAGGGGCTGAAACTACCAACCAGCTCCTATAGTTGCTGAAAAAAGTGATGACGGAAATCCCAGGTACATCGGCTGGCAACTCCCCAACATCTCCCATCTGAGACTGGGCTTCTTGGTGGCAGGAATCCACCAGTGTTCATTGTGCAATACGGGGAGCCAGTTGTTTTCCTGGCGGCGTAGACTCTAAAGCAAAAGAAAGATATATATATATAGATACACTGTATATATGAATATGGCCATAGCCAATATAGCATATAGTTTTCAGAACCTGGCTTGTGATATGCCTCCTTTCCTTGCGTTTCATCAGGTAATTCTTCCCAATAGTGTCTCTGGCGACTGATTGTTTGGCAAGTGAAGGACGTATCCCAAAGCTATGTCCAATGTAAGCGTTGGTAAAATCCCTTGCTGGAAGGATCTGTGAAGTTAGTTACCGGTTTGTAACTGGGCATGTTCTCCGGCGACATGCTATATTATATCTATATATATACAGTATATACGTGTATAATAGAGAGAGAGAGCGAGAGACCAAGAGCCCTGGGATCTATCAGGATGTTGAATTCCTGGTTATACATTGGGCAACTAGGTACAATGCGCTCCTCAAGTAGGATGGACGCACCACCAAACAGTTCATTTGCCGCCCATACATCTATGTAGTTCTATGATGTTCTATGTTTATCTCAGATATACATCACCAGGGATGTTTCATACATAAATCCGGGGCATAATATGTTTACAACTTCTTAACCCACTGACTATTGTAACTGGGATTCACAAATCCCATTACCTCAAACTACATCCCATTAATCCCATTAAATCTGGATAATTCCCCTATGATGTGATGTACATTCCCAATAAGTCCCATTAAATCTGAGTAAATCCCATGAAATCCCATGAAATCTCAATTGTTCCCCTATGAATTTCTATCTGGTTGGTGGTTTGGAACATTTGGATTATTTTTCCATTCAGTTGGGAATAATAATCCCAACTGACGAACTCATATTTTTCAGAGGGGTGGGCATACCACCAACCAGTTATGTTTTTTATATCCCAGTGATATAAACTACTGTTAGCTAACTACTAGTGGTTACCACTAGTTATGTTTTCTGCCGTGAAAGCGAGGCTTCTACACAGCCGACATCTTCGCCCCCGAACCCACGCAGCAGCGCGACGTCTTGCCCGTACTGCGCTTGTTGCAGGAGTTACAGCCCGATGTGGCCTGGCTGACCCGGGAAAAATGGGACAAAATGGAGACATTTTACTGGAAAGCCCTGGTTTTTTGAATGGGAAACATGATTTTGGACTCATATGGCGATTGTTTTTCTGCATGATTGAAGTTGGAAATATGGTGATTGCATGCTATTTCATGAGCAACGTTATTACATTGATAAACTATCTTGTGGTTAGGAGGGGCCAAGGAGCTATGGGTGATCATATTCCCTACATGGATAAAGTAGCAGCCAAGGAGCTAGTCAAAATTTCCCAACCACCTGACAGTCAAACCAAGGAACAGTTGTGAATCTACATGTGTTTGCCCAGAAACATGGGACATCAATGAGATTTGATGAGAACCAGCTGCGATTTAACCAGCAACAGAATGGAGATTCAACCGCCTAAAAACATGTTTGCTCAACAAGGAACCTTCGAGAAAAAAATGGATTCAAGGAACAGAACTTGGGATATAGACCTTTGGATGTCATTAGAAATAGGTGAACATAGTGTAGGTTTATCTCTCCCCCGTTCATAATGAACACCCCCCAGAAACCAGGGTTTACTGTAGTACTTGGTGGTGCAGTTGAGGTTACAATTGGATATAAGCTTATAGTGGTGAAATGTATTCACTTAGTTCACTGGAACTGCACCACCCCAAGCATTAAAAAACTATCCTCAATACATTGATCCTTAATAAGTGGAGTATTTCTACAGATATACCATATCCTCAGTTTCCAAGTAGGGGGTCAACACACCGTCCATTTGGGAACCGTTCAGGTTGTGACGGTGGCGCTGGACCCGGAAGCCTCCGGGTACCTGGGCAGAGATCAAAGCATGGGGGTTGGAGGATACGTTTATTACTTAATAGTCTGGTTGGTGGTTTTGATTTTTATATCCCAGTTCATTGATAGTTCATTTACCTATTATTTTTTGGTGATTTTCCAGTTCGCAAACTGTTAATTTACCAGAGGGTAATCCAAATGTTTGTCTGGTGGTTTAGAACATGCTTTGTTTTTTCCATATATTGGGAATAATAATCCCAACTGATTATTTTTCAGAGGGGTTGAAATCACCAACCGGTTTATATATATATAATGATAGTTCGTTATAGAGACACTGTAGGATATTAATCCACTAATATCTATCATGTTTAACACACTATAATTGGATATTTCAAATAACTATAGTTGGATAGAATATAGTTATATATTGTTAGTTGTAAAAACATGTAAAAACTATGTTTTAGAAACTGGAAAGTAAAGTAAACTTTTTGTTGAGTTCCAGGTTTCACGCTGTACATCTCAGTTGTTTCAGTGAGGTCATAAGGGTATGGATCAATACCCAAGAACAACGTTTAAGTCTCAGTGATGGTTTATGTTTTGGAATGCTTACCGCTTACCACTACCGTTTTTTTTAACCCACTTGCACGTGTGATTTTGCCATAACTGGGCTCAAATGGGGCTCGGTTGATTTTGGGTCGCCAACCAAAAACCCAGGTTTCACATTGGATCTACGCTACGGTATTCAAACGCGGTAATGGGAAATTCCCGTGAAAATAGAGGTTTTAATGGAAACATCATCTATAAATGGGTGCTTTTCCATTGCCACGTTTGACTACCGAAGGGTGTTCTCTTTGGGTCCCTTCTTGGTGCATTTATTGAATATCATAGTAATGGGAGTGGTATCTGAAGAAAATCGAAGTATTCAGCGCAGCAACGTTCCGGCGAAGATAGGGGATGGGTACTTCATGAAATCATGCAACTCTTGAGACCTTTTTCGTGAGGAATTTCCTCGGCTTGGTCGGAACCTACTTCCGGAGTATGTGATGTTATCTGGGCCCGTAGATTAACATTTTCACTGTTGTAAATGGAGGTTGCCTAAAATAGGGGTACCCCCAAATCATCCATTTATAGACTGGGATTTTCCCTGAACTAATCCATCTATTTTTGGATACCCTAAATATTATGGGAAACCCACAAATGATCTGTAAATGTTTGTTTCACTGAATTTCAACTTTGGAGACAGAAATTCTGAGGCCGGATACGCACTACAAAGTCCTGCAGGCCGTGACTGCTGCCCTACAACAGCCGCTGGTCAGAGCTGCCACCTGGGTACCCCCTGGTAATTTAACATAGATATGGAAAATCATCATTTTAACAGGGAAACCAATAACAAGAAAGGATATAATACACCGCAGATTTGCTACTCTCATGAAAATATGATCCTCAACAAGTAGATTTAGGAGTACAGTGGGGTACCATATTTTCAGACAAATGCATATCATTGTTCTTGGAAAGATATTCTGCGAACTAAGTGACATTTGCAGCAACATCCACAGCATGGACATCCTAGAATTGGCTGAAGGCTATTTTACAGGGAACAAGTTTCTATGTTGCAAGAAACCTGTGATTTTACGTAGATTGTCCTTCAAACCAACAAAAATCGAATTTGATGTCCAGAAGCACTCATGAAAAATTTGCTTTGACTCTCAGCTATCCAAGGTACTCCGATGAGACCAAGAAGAAGGATATCACCGTGTGGGGCTACCGCAACGTTTGGTTCCGCTTTGAGCCTCACGTATCTCGCAAAAGGAATCCCAGGATGCCACAAAATCCTGGGGAGGAAGGGGATGGATGGGAAGGCGATGCCACATCATATCCAATTTTCGGGGGACATGATTTATGAATTCTGTACATGTTACATAGCAGCCATAGCATGTCTGTTTGATCTCGTGACTTACCAATTTTATTGGGATTCCTTGAAACCACCAACCAGGTGCTTTTGAACTGCCATCTGCTGACACTATCCCGATTTAATGCCAAGTATTCTCATGTTGTTTGGATCAAACACCACAACATGGTACAGATGGGTTTATATTGGTTGTCAACACAACATTTCAGTGAAACCAATATGTTTTGAGTTTTGACATTTGATGACTGCTGGAGTCTGGTATTGATGACTGCTGTTGGTGTTGCTGAAAACAGTTCCAAAAAACCGATCCAAAGGATGAGAATTGTCCCATCAATGCTGTTGAGACTTGTTGAGAATTTCAGGTTTCATCATGCCTCTCACCCCCATGATCATCATGATCCTTGGCCAATTCCGCTTGGCGAAAAACCATCGATGCTTCCGAGGAAGTCTCTACCATCATTCCGGTGTCGCTGCAGACCATCTCCACTCTAAATCACATGTGGCTCAGATGAAAGCGAAGTGGGTTTAGAACTGGGATAAGTATGGATAACATTGGATCACTAGAGTTTATGGTGATTATAGCTGTAGTTCAATGGTTTCTTTTGATGGTTTAAACCAATAAACATAGCGTTTGGGGACGCCACCTTGTAGGTAATTTGATGTTATGAGCTTCTCGGGGGTATAGAAAATATGGAGCCTAAATAGGATAGATTCTATTGAACTATGAGACCTTCTAGACCTTTTGAGAAAGTAGAAACCAATAACAAACCTTGATGTTACAAACTATATAATCCAATCTTGAGGTTGTAACCAACCTTGAGGTTATAAACTAGATTCCCACTTGCAGCTTATTATTTAGGCAGAACATAAGCCTAAAGGCTGATTCGCAAGCAGCCAAGTACAGCTTGCACTGTTAGTGCAACTGTTAAACTGTTAGTGGAAGTGTAGCTTGGAGTTGGCACTATTGTTGTGTATAGCAAAGTTTGGGGTCACACAAGATCAATCAAGTCCATCATTTTTGCTCAAAGCCACAAGATGGGCAAGATGAATGGTATTGGTCAGCCAAGTTGGCTCAGGTGGCTAAAGGCCTGTGATGGCGGGCGTGGATGTAAACCTTTAATTCATCATGACCTCCAAATTAATGGTAAAAACGTTTGAATTCCTACTGAATCAGAGTTTTGCTTTTCCATTTATTTGGCCAGCACAGAGCCCAGGGTGTCAGATTTGTTTAGTGCACAGAGACCAATTGTCTCGTCATCTTGGGCTGCTGGATATATCTTAACTTTTGCCAATGATGAAGCTGTTTGGCACTAAGATCAACCATAGATTAGCATCCAAAAAAGCTAGGACGAACGGAAGAACGCTGGGGCGTAGCTTTGCAAACCCGTCCGGCCCGTCCTGTGAAAACATGAGGGTTTAGGGATCCTCTCAGGCCCCGCACCTAGGTTCCTGAACTCCTTTGAATCACAGCGCAACGCCGAATTCCCGGCCTATGAGCTCCTTGCTGCGTGGGCGACGATGGAATTTCACCTGTCCAAAGATCAGTGATTAACGGCATCAAAATTCCAGTGAGATGCCATAGTTTTCTTGGTTTGGTACGGATATGTAAGCAGCAAAAAAAAACGGTGTCTTTTCCTTCATCAAATATGCGTTGTTTCCCTGCAACATGTCCTTTACACCAATCCAATGATAAAAAGGATTGAAAGACACGTTGCGATGCTGAATGGTTTGGCTCAAAAGGGGCCCAGAACTGGTGTCTACCCCAAAACTTTTGGCTAATCATGGGATTTTCTGAAAATAGTGTATCCCATATCCCATATTCTGATGCTTGATCAGCATTTTCTTTTTTTTCTGGCCATTTGGGGGGTTGTACTCACTCTGCGGAATGATGGTTAATGATGGTTAATGGCAATCATCCCCAGATACAAAAATGAATTACAGTTTGATTCAACCAGAAATCATGTCTTTCAGTTTGGGTACTTGGTGCTTCATGTTAGTAGAAATGTTTATGTTCACCGTTCACCCCGATGAAAAATTGACCAGACCATAAGCAGCCCATTTACGTCACATTAATCCCATAATATTCACTTGTTTCCATGCAGATGGGCTCCAATGATCGACGGGACCGACGGCACCAAGGATTGAGGGCCCATTTTGTGCCATGAGTCAACGAGTTCAGGTCCAGCAGTACGACATGATCGAGACCTGCCTGGGTAACTTGGAAAACATTCAGAGCGTATGAGATGTACTGTGATATGATTAATTAGTGGGATTTAATGGGATTTAATGGGATTTAATGAGATTAATGGGATTTAATGGGATTAGCGATTGTCTTAATATCAATCCTGTGATAAGATGTACCAAGTGATATGGCTATGGATCAAAATTAGGGAGCTGGGAAACATTGGGAAACCACAACATTTCTAGTCTATTTTCAAAATTTTGACCATCCAAAAAAAATAGGGTATTCAATTTTGACCTATTCCCATACTGAGTGAGATTGATTCGGACAAAAATTTCATGGGATTTAATGGGATGAAGCGTCTGGTAGTTTAACATATGGATGTGGGTCAAAATGGAAGACCTAGGGGACCACAGATGTTAGTCTAGTTTAGTATTAACCATCCATAATTTTGGGGTACCTAATTTTGACCCATACCCATATAGCTATGGAAACTGGTTGATAGTCAGATGATTTCCCTATAGATCCCGCAAACGAGCACAGACAATCCGCTTCCAAAACGTATCCTGTTGATTTCTTGCCGCGTAGTTGCGCTGCTCTCGCACTTTTTTTCAATTCGAGCACTTCTTTCTGATCAAATGAAGCTCCAGGTTTATTATCTATAATAGCTAGTTGTTAAATATTACGTAACTATATGTAACTATATTGATCATCATCTCCATGACTATCCCACGACTGTCCCTATCCGTTTCCCTATGCTATGAGTGGTTCCACAAGATTAGCTAAATGGTTAGTATCTGGGGATATATATATATTTATATAACCCCCAAAAAATCCCAATGAAATAATCCATGGCAACTAACTAGTTAACTAACTCCATGGCCCATCTAAGATTGTGATTTCACGTGATTCAAAGGGGATATAACATGATACAACTATAGTTAACATAACTAACTCCATGGCCCATCGAAGTAGGCTATGAGTGGTTCCACAAGCACGACTCCCCGTTGATCCGCGCCACTCGCGGCTTGGTCTTCTTGCGGGAGATGACCGTGCAGCAGCTGCTGGCGGAGAGCCGCGCCCTGCGGCAGCAGACGGAGACTCGGCTTCGCGACGATCAACGGCAGCGAAACGACCGTGTTTTGAATGGGAAAACCTGGAAAAACCTGGGAAAACCTGGGAAAAACCTAGGAACATCTGGGAAAATGAACGATGAATGGTGTATTTATTGGGAAAATGAACTATAATGAACTGTAAATGGGAGATGTTCCATTTCCAAGAGAAATTTGAAAGCGTAAGAATTAGAACTTATTATGATGGCTTCATCAACAAACATACCTTATGGAAACAGGTCCATAGAATATGGACATGTAGCTATTTAACAACGTAACAATTAGAAGCTATTGTGATGGGTTATGATGATTTAACATAGCGAAAATGGCCCAAATATGGATGATAAACATGATGATTCCAACACACTTCATCTATCCAGAAGTTATTTTGATGAACCAGTAACAAGAATCATAAGGTATGTCTGTTAGAAGGTAAGTTTATGATTATTTAGCATAGCTATGGGAAATGGATGAATATGGCCCACTTATGGATGATAAACATGATGATTTACCTACTAAAAATGCTGATTTACCTATATATTACAATGTCCTGATGCAAAGTATTTCAAAAGAATCACAACAGAACCTGAACTCCCATTCTCCCGATCTTCATGTAAAAGTCACGGCACTAAGTGCTGAAGATATTTCACGACATCGAAAGAAATTAACCCGCCATCCCACACAGCTCAGGAGAACATCTAGAGAAAAAAAAGTGTTGCATCCGGCTGATCGCTGCTGTAGCTGTCTACTTGGATCCTTGGATTTTCAGAAAAAAAACAAAAGGCATCATGTTTGAAAAATAATTGACAATCGCAAACCCAGAAATGGATTGCAAAAAGGGCATTCATCATTCAGATATTTGGTAGGTATTATCTAGGTCAGACAGACCCAAACAATCAAGCAAAAAACCAAGCAATCCAAGAGTAGTTTTGATATGTTTTGCTAGTGTACAGATGTTTTGCCTTCTCAGTCCCTGGCCATTTTGGGCCGGGCTGTAACGGTGGCTGCCAGATTGTGGCGGTTCCCGACTTAGTGAAGTATCCAGTGCCCAGAGAAAAAAATATGTAGCCGTTCTGCGGTAAGTTTTGCCATCATGAGCACCATGGTCCATGGCCATTTCAGGAACCTAAATTGGAGGTACCTATAATACCATATAGAAGGCCTATATAAGGCCTACGTAAGGGAATATCCCCACAAAATGTGGCCTTATATGGTACAGTACCTCCAATTTAGGATCCTGGAATTCCCATTGACATCATGAGCACACATGGGTGTTTCTTAAAATGGAGGATTCCCAGTCGTCAACATGGGATTCACTACTGGTCATCCACGACGACTGGATGATTTGGGGTACCCCCATTTCAGGACACCTTCATACATGATTGTTCACATGGAAGTTTCACTATAGTGTGTTGAACAACAGTGTGAACACACCAAAAATATCAATATCTATCTATATATATATGTATATATATGTAATATCCAATATATGTTTCGAATGTTTTTGTTTGAAGTGCCATTAGTAGCTAAACCACACCTGTTGTTCAACAGACGTTCCCTGAATGACCACCCCACGAACGAAGCGGCACAGGCACTGAGTACCATGACGACTTCGCACGCGCGTGTGGGTCGCTTTGGCTCAACGCTGACTGAAGGTATTCATTTTCCATACTGTATTAGTATGTGTATATATATATATGTATATAGTATGTAAATATAGTGTATATGTATATATATATATTATGTATATATATATAGTGTGTGTGTGTGTATTTTCGTATAGTGTGTATCTATATATATATATATATATATTTATGTATAGAATCCCCATATTTGGAAGAATTGTTTAGGCAATAAACAAGCTACAATTATTTAATACATCATATTTAGTCAATATATATATATATATATATAGTATGTATATATATATATATATATTATAGTATGTACATATAGTGTGTATATATATATATCGTAAATATATAGTGCATATATATATAATATAGTTGTTTTTGTTGTATAGAGTAAACATATAGTGTATATATATGTATATATATATTGACTAAATATGATGTATTAAATAATTGTAGCTTATTGCCTAAACAATTTTTCCAAATATGGGGATTCTCCAGGAAAATGATCGTTGAATTTGATGGATGGGATCCCAAAAAAAACACGTATTGAACTGTGGATGGAAGAAGAAATCCTATAAACCACCAAAAGGATGGTTGAAACATGTTGAATCCCTATAAATAATGGGATGTTTACCTCCTATCAACGCAGGATTTCGCAACCATCCACAGGAGTATGTTAGTTTCTTTTGTTTATGAAACTAGACCATGAAATGATATGTTGTTGCTATCCCTCCAGGGTGGTCCAACTTTCAGATACACCAGGGATCTTTTTGCACACAACGTCAGCCAAGGTTTGTCCACACTCAGCGAATGGTGGTGTTTTACCATTTGGTTTGGGACCCAACAACTTAGAATCCAAAGACTTCCTTGTGCCAATTGGAGGCTTCCTAAAGGTAGCCCTAAATCATCCATTTCAAAAGGATCTTCCAGTACAAATCATTCATTTTAGGGATCCTCCATTTATGGAAATCTTTAATGATCCATCATTGGAAACCACCTACGGTTTTACCTGCATGTTGAAAAATGCGTGACTGGAATGCCCGACTGATGGGGGATTCCCAGTCGTCACCATGGGTTAACCTATACTAAGTCATGGTCATCCATGACGACTGGATGATTTGGGGCGCCCCCCATGCCTTAGGAAAACGCCATATTGAAACAACCTACTGTTGATTAGCTATGGTCCTTTTTACCACTTATAAGTACGAGCAAAACTTCCAGTCGTGGGACTTCGATGAATTGCCCTGTTGAAAATTGACCCAGCTTTTTTGGGAACGGCTTAGATTTTTCCCAAAAGATACCATCAAATAAGGGACGCGCAAGATCTTATCTTTTTGTGTAGGAGTATATAGATATGTTGAACCGCAAAATCCCATGATCATGAATTCCAAGTGAAATTCCTATTTCAAAGGGATGGTAGCCTCCTGGCAACATAGAAAAAATCCACCATTTCAAGATGTTTTTCTCCCAGGAAACCGTGGGTTTGCCGCATTTCTTGTATGTTTACCCCAGGGACCCCATGTTCCCCGGAAAGGTTGGAGTTGTTGGCGCCCGGTGCCACTGTGGTCCGGCAAACCCAGTGGGATGGATATTGGTATGGTCCCCCCAGCTGAAAGGGATAGTATAAATAATATCATATTATAATATTACCATTACCATTACCATTACAATCATTACAATTAATAATCATTAATATTACCATAGTAATGGTAATATTAATAGTGACTAATGGTAATAGTAATGGTAATATGAATTATTAGGTTAGCTAAATCTGCAGTATGGATATTCTAGAATGGTAATGAGGTTATAGTAATAGCTGAGTTACAATTACTGAATAGCATGGGAATAGTAATAGTAATGGTAACCCAGCTGAAAGGTTAGCTTTGGGGTTCATGGTTATTCTAAGATATTCATTGCGTATCTCGTTAGATGCGTGGGGCGCACCAGCTTGACGAAATCCAGTGATCTGACCAATGGAAAATCCACATGTCTACATTCATGGTTTTGTTTGTTTCCGAAAGCAACATGTTCCGTGAATCCGAACAACAACGATTTTCCAACCACCAACAAGCATTTTCTGAAGGTTCGCCTTGTTAGTGGTTGTTGGTGAGAAAAAAGCTCCTGATTTACACCAGGACATTGTTGGGGGGTTGCTGTGATTTTTTTTCTTTTTTACCACTATAATTATCATCCATCAAATTCTATCCCAGAACATACTTGTCATAATTGGTAAAGCACAATATATACAGTGTATATATATATGTATAGCCATTCATAGATGTTTCAGGGTCCCCATGGTTTGTTGAATGGTTAATAATAGATATCAATTATATAGTATAGTACTATCAGATGGGGGATTCAACTAACCAGGGGGAAAAATATAACTGAAGATGTCCGAGCTGTTTGTCATAATTGAACAATGGAACTATATGGATTATAATTATTACTGATTAGTATAGATTATCACATGGGGATTGTTACAACTGAAGATTGTCCATCATTATAACTGAAGACAGTGGAATCCCCCCATTTCAATTGAAGATCACCACATCTGATGACTGTCATGGGGATTCAACTAACCCCAAGGTGACTAACCACATCTATTCTCAACGCCGATTCCCATCTTGTTTGGTTTGGTTATCCTCTGGATCCCTCTGGTACTCGTAATTTCACACAGCTATGAAAAAAAACAACAAAATCACTAGCTTCAATAGGTATATCATCTGGATTCATATGGTATATCATCCAACTATCAATCTTTCATGGGCCATGTGGCCATGTTCATCCATTTTCCATAGCTGTAGCATGCTGTAGCTCTCTGGGCCCCCCCAGTGATGTTAGTTGGTTGAAATAAATCCCATTAACTAGTTCGTTATTTGCGTACCATAAACCATAGTGAAATTGGAGTTATGTTCACCAACTTATCTGACGAACTGGGGCACCACATTGTAGACATTAACATGGTGAATGTTAGATACCTGCCAAATACATCCAGTATTTAGCTGGTTGGGACCAATATACCATTGATAGCAAAAAATTAAAGTACTAAAACATCTAACAAAGGTTGACCCAGCTAATTATCTCAAATGGTGCCAGCTTGTGGGGAACACCAGGTGGCAGATCGGCTTCTAGATCCCATGGCACCGGAGTTTCTGTGGCAACTGAGTCCCACTGTGGGACTCTTCGAGGCGGTCCGAAACGGTCCGAAACGTGGGGTTTCGTAACGGGAAAGTGGTGATAAAATGAGGGATTTCATGGGAACAAATGGGATTTCAATGGGTTCAAGATGGTTCAAGCCACCATTTAAGAGCTGGACAAAGGTATCATTTTGCCAGTGTTGAAAAGGATGGTGTTATTGGTTCTATCCTTTCGGGGTCAATGGGTTGATACGCCAATGAAAACCAACCCCTCCTTCAGTCTCATCCTATCAATTTGGGATGAGTTTCCCTATTGCCATTCATTTTTTCAAGGAGGTTGAAACATGTTGAAACCACCAACCTGAAACGGGTCAACTGCAGAGGGCATTTCACCTTAGCCAGATGGCAGAGGCCGATGGGTGAGTTTTCGTATCAAGCCGCTCCAATATTGCAGATACACCCAAGATCGACCCAGACCCATTTGACATGCTTGGGAAACTCCAAAGTGAAGCCGATTTTCAATTGAAGATTGAACTTTTTGATGGGGATCTATGAGTGACCCAAGTACTTTAGATAGCAGAGCATGTTCAACAGTTTCAAATTGCCTGGAAATGTCATCTCCAATTTAATTGATGACACTTGTGAGGAACTCGTTTTTCCTACTGACATGCCTGATTTTCTTTGCCTAGGTGTCAGTTATAACACTAATGGTTGTTTTCCATTGTTTTCCTGATTTTTTTTGTTGCATACCCCACTGGAATTCGATGTGCCTTGGTCAAGGTATCATCCATCAATTGACAGCAGATCCATCATTGGCCGTGAGGAAACCTTTGCTGTGGAGATGGAGGAACCGCAGCCGCGGCGGGACAGTTGATAAGTGGTTCAGAACAAAAAGTGTGACCATGTGTAACCCACGACTTGTTATTTTTACGTATGTTATAATATATATATATATGTACATATTATACACACCTTAATATATATGTATATATATATATGCA